GCAGCCCTGGAGTCACACTGGGTGCAAATCTTGCACTATTATTTATTTTCTATGATTTATGCAACTAGCAATGAACCCATGTTCACTGCCACGAATGACTGAAAAAAGCTGCAGTAAGTTCTAGCCAAAGTACTTCTGTCCTGAGGTGAAAGAAAAGTCACTTCACGATTCCTGCTTTCTCTTTGCTCCCATGACATCCAACCTACCTGCCCGGGACCCACGTACAAACAGGTTGCGTTGTCGTGGCAGCCGCCTGCACTGGGTAGCAGGCAGTTGTTGATCTCCAAGCAGTCTCTCCCATTCCCTGTCCAGCCCTGCTGACACACGCAGGTGTGGGTGCCCGTGCCAGTTTTGATGCATTCTGCCTGCAGGAGGAAAAGAAAAAGCAAAGCCTCTGAATCCTCAGCCCAGCCACATGATTCCAAAAGTAAGAGAGTTTCCAGACATATGTTCCAGAAGCACATATTTGCATTGAGTGAGGTGGAAATGCTTAATTTACATTGAGATTCATGAAAAGATTAGGTAATTTAAAGACCAAAATTGCTTGGAGCTGGCCAGCTTATGGCCACTAACATCGCTGTGTTCGTTATTAAGCCAGGGACTGTTTATATTGTTTTGCAGGTGTAAACCATCATCTTGAGGAAAGTATTGTTATCTCTATTTTATAGCTAAGGAAACAGGTGTTGCCCAAGGTCATGCAGCTATAAAAAGGCATGAACCCAGGTCTGTATAATGTGGGAACCCAAGCTCCACAATATCAGGTCCCGGACCTCTCGGGAGGAGCCTTGCCAGGAGGCTGGAGGACAGAATGAGAAGGAGAGAGGGGTACAAGATACGGTGTTGAGATAAGGCTGAGGGGGATGGGGTTGGGATGGGGCTTGTTCAAAGGGAATCAAAGGAATCTGTAGGCTGGGGTCAGGTGGTTTCACCTAGATTTTATCCTCAGAGCTAGAGGAAATTACGGAAGGGGCTTAAATCTGGGAAAAACAAGATCTGATTCACTTCAGGCCACTCTGGCTGTGAGTGGAGAATGCACTGTGGGTAGATAAGAGGGAGTAAAGAAACCAGTTACTAAACCATAGGTAAGGAATGAAGGTGACTAGGGTAGGGGTGGTGATAATTGAAGGGAATTAATGAAAGCAATGGTAGGTTCTAGCTATACCCCTACCAACAACAGAACTTAGTCTCTTGACTCTCCCAGATCCCAGTTTCCTAATCAGTGAAATGATCACTTGAGCCCAGGAGTTCCAAGCGGCAGTGAGCTATGATTACACCACTGTGCTCCAGCCTAGGTAACAGAGACCCTGTGTCAAAATAAAATAAAAATTCAAGGTTTAAACACAAATGCTTCACACATATGAAAAGTCATCAGACACTGACCTGTGGAATGTCTTTCCTCAGGATTTCCTAAAAAACCCAAACCACCAACTGGAAAAAGCCAACAAGAAACCAGGCAGGGCCGGGCGTGGTGGCTCATGCTTGTAATCCCAGCACTTTGGGAGGCCGAGGTGGGCAGATCATGAGGTCAGGAGTTTGAGACCAGCCTGACCAACATGGTGAAACCCCATCTCTACTAAAAATACAAAAATTAGCCAGGGGTGATGGCGTGCCCCTGTAATCCCAGCTACTCACGAGGCTGAGGCAGGAGAATTGCTTGAACCCAGGAGGCGGAGGTTGCAGTGAGCCAAGACTGTGCCATTGCACTCCAGCTTGGGCGACAGAGTGAGACTCCATCTCAACAAACAAAGAAACCAGGCAGGTTGGAAATGAAGACCAGTACTTACATTGCGGCTACAGCCTCCTGGAGTTAGTCCTGTGCAAGGGTCCATCTCAGAACATACAGTTCCATCTCCTTCATATCCTGCTTTGCAAACACAACTGCAAAGGAGAGTGCACAAAATCAGCCCCAGAATAAGCACCAATGACCGAGAAGAAAGCCAGCCAGCTAGAGATGAGCCAGTTCCTGGCCGAATGGCTCCATCGTTTGCTTCTGTGGAGGAAGCCAGTGCTCAAATGTGGTCGGGGTACTGCTGGGGTCTGCAATCAGATACACCTGGGTGGAAATGAAGCCCGCCCACTTCTTAGCAGTTGTGTGACTCTGCGCGAGTCCCTTAACAACGGAGAGATCTTATTTCTCATGAGGAAAATGGGCCTAATACCTCCCATATAAGGCTGAAGGTTAGATGAGCGAATGCACACCGAGCATTTAGCAGAGCACTTGCAGATCATAAGGCTCAACACCTGACACCTGCTCTTATTTTACCAGCACCTGCCTCTTTATAACTCTTTCTGCTCAATACTAGTTATTACCTCTAGTTCAGCAAAGAGCTCTACTCTGGCTTCTATGCAACAGCTCTTAAAATATTTGAAAATGACAATCAGGTGAGACTTCTCCTCTCCCCTTCTCTGGCCCCTCGTGGGTTTCCCCCCAATACCACATTCTCAAGTGCCTCTTCTGTGAGCTGACTTGGTTTCTTGACCCATTACCTTTCCAGACGCTCCTCTCAAAATGTTCTGTGATGATACTTTTACTATTAAAGGTGGCCCATTTATTCATCTGTTCAACCAATATTTATTGAGTGCCCTATGATAGATGCTGGAGACATTGTACCCCCACGTTCTACTGCAAATTCAGTCATCCGTGCCTTACAAAAATTTAAAAATATATATATTTCATGTATCAAGTTTCCTAGAGGAACAAAATACATTATCTGGTGTCCAAATGAAGAAATAGGTTGATCTGTTCCAATAATGTTTGATTTACCTAAGGCAATATAGTTCATACAGACCCATGCCGATAGTCCTCTGCAGATGATTTAATAGGTTTCGGGGGTAATTTTGATTACATGCAGTTTTGCCTTACGCACTGATATAGATCCTAACTCCTTAGGAAAAGGCATTTCTATTGTACAACCGTGGAAAAACAGTCTCTTGTCTCATAGCCTACAGTCTGGTGGGAGAGGCAGACCAAAACAAATAACTACATAAAATAAAATTTAAGAAATTAAGAAAGCAGTGCAAGAAGAGGACCAAGAATTCCAGACACCCTCTGCATTTCCCAGGATATTTTAGGTGGTTACTGCCTTGGAGCTAGATATTTCCAGAGAGGTACATTTCCTCTGGCATTTCCTCCCTCAAACCTACTGCAGAATGCTAGACAGTATTAAGGAAACAAATGGCAACCTATTGGTTAAAGACCCAATTTCCTGCAAGATGCCTTTAACAGGGGAGAAATCATTAACAGCTTTAAAAAGCAAAGGTGTCTTCAAAGACTGGAAAGTTGGTGGACAAATCTTCATTTCTTTCACATATGTGGTGATAATAATTATGGTTTCCATGATGGAACATCTTTGATGTGCTAGCTCTGGTGCTAGGTGATTTTGCATTCAGTTCTGCTATTCTCCACAACTGGCCTGCTTGGTAGGTATCATCACCCTCACTGTACTGTTGAGGAAAGCGAGGTTCAGAGAGGTTAAGTAACTTGCCCACAGTCACACAGCTGGTAAGTTTCAAAGCAGGGAGTGCTGCAATTGAAACCCAGCTCAGACTGAGGTCCTTTTCACAAACACCACACTGTCAGCTGGAGGTAACAGGCCTCAGTTCAGAGTTCAGATATGGGTTGGTTCTGTCTACAGCTAACACAGTGACTTAGTGTCACTAAGGGCCATCCCCTCACAGACCTACCTGGCTGTCCCATTGCTGTATTCACAGGTGGCGTGGATGTGACAGAACTGCACGTAGGGCCCACAGGCTGAGGTCCGCTTATCACAGAGTCTCCCGGCAGAGCCGTCTCTGCATGTGCCCGTGAGGCAGGCCCCATCGCTGTCTATCCTGTTATCGCATGTTCCATGAACGCACAGGCATTCTGAAAGAGGAGGAGGAGGGACATCCATCCAGGCATTGGGGACAAGCCGAGCACTGAGGCAGAGCACCCTGGAAGACAGGGACCACCTCCTCTCACCCCCCATTCACTCTTGTCAAAGCAGAGTCTGGGGGCTGAGCCGGGGGAACACTCAGGCTGCTGTTTCTTGGAGTCTTAAGCGTTCTCAGAGTGCCTGGGACAGCCCTGGAGAGCTTGCTTGTCCCACCCAGGAGGGGAAGAACTTGGTCTCAGAACTCCTTTAAGACTGAGCATGGTGACTCATGCCTGTAATCCCAGCACACCGGGAGGCTGACGTGGGAGGATTGCTTGAGCCCAGGAGTTTAAGACCAGCCTGGGCAACACGGCGAAACCCAGTCTCTACAAAAAATACAAAAATTAGCCGGGCACGATGGTGTGTGTTTGCGGTCCCAGTTACTGGAGAGGCTGAGAGGTGGGAAGATCACTTGAGCCTGGGAGTTTGAAGCTGCAGTGAGCTATGACTGCACCTCTACACCCCAGCCTGGTCAACAGAGTGAGACCCTGTCTCAAAAACAAAACAAAATGAAACAAAAGAAAAAAGAACTCCTTTTTATCTATATGTGTGTGGGGTGTGGGAAAGAGGATGTGACACTTTGAAAGAGGCCAAGGAACTCCATTTTCAACTACTTCCTGGTTGGAGAGTTTAGCCTGGAAACTTCTCACCTTTCATGAAGATATTCTGAATAAAAGGAAGTGATTTCCCATGCTGGCAGGGCTCCTGATATGTAGCTAATGTGTTTGTTTTTCACTCTGTCACAGCAAACCAATGATAACCAATAGGCAATATTTGGGCACTGACTTCATTCAAGGCACCGGGTCAGCCTTTCACATGCACCATAGTCACCAGGCCCAGCAGGTAGGTACTTTTATAACCCCCATTTTTCAGATGAGGAAGCTGAGGCCCAGAGAGAGGAAGCAAACTGCCCGACTTGCTGCTAAATTCCCAGGCAGAAACTTAAACCGGGATTCAAAGTCCATTTCTGTTCGTGACTGTGTAAACACCATAAATCATTACATGAACTGGCATTTCCATATCACTGCTATCATTTTAAACCTTAGCTGCTGAATTTGCTTTCACTTGTAGGTATTTAAAAATTGTAACACGGGCCGCCTCATCAGACTCAGGTTCCTATGCATGTGAAAGTGGAAAGAAGGACATGGAGATTTTCAGAGGCACCTGGCAAGGATGGGGGGGGGGGGGCTTGGAAAATGATCAGAAAGAAAGGAATCTGGAGTTTAGCCAGGACCCATGGGAGAGGAATTTGTGTGGGTGCTTGGAGCCAACATCCAGGAAAGAGAAGACCAACACAAGTGAGCAGGGTTGGAAAACCACAGCCGGATTTAAAACCAAAAAGAATTTTTATACAATTTTAGGGAAGTCAGCGCTTCATTTGCAAGGAACGAGACCCCTGTGTGAGACTGTGTGCAGCCGTAGCCCTGGAATGAGAGGTGTGACAGCTGGAAGCCCCCCACCCCATCCCAGCCTTGGTGTCCTGCGCGGCTGGCCTCAGACAAATGCCAACATCGTCAGGCCTTGGGATAAACCCTAATTTTTTTTCTTCCTCTAATATGGAAATCTAATTTGGCAAAAAGAACATTGGAAAGGATTCAGCAGCCTCGACGTGCTGTGCTCTGCTTTCCCATCCATCCTGAGAGTTATCTGTGAAGACCAAATACGGTAGGAGAGCGGAAGGGTTGTGTGTTTCATAACAAATGCATGGAGTTAGTAGCAATAGTAAGAGGAGGGGCTTTGCTTATTGATGACTTGCTCAGTGTAAGCTCTGTGCTAAAAGCCCCAAATTATGGTCTAATTTAATCCTGTCAGCACTATTGTCTTCATTTTATAGGTAAAGAAATAGCCTTTTTCTGAGATCAGACGGTTGGTAGGCTGGAGCGTGGGGACTTCAGGTTGGTCTGACTCTACAACGAGCTGTTAGCTTAGAAATATATGTCAAAAAATATATGTTTATTTAAATATACACAGGATGTCATTTTAAAGAACAGAATGAATTTTCTGAGGTTGCATAACTTCATTTTTTTCAATGCCTATTGTGGAACTTTCTACATGTTCTACAAGCTTCTTGATATTTATGTCACTGTACTTAGAATAACAGCACCACCAACAACAAATAATAATAGTGAGATAGTATTTGTGGCACATGTTTTGTACTAGGCGTGGTTCTAAGGCAAGCGCTTTCCATTTATAAGTTGTACTAACCTTAAAAGGTACTTGCTATTATTATCATCCCCATTTTACAGATGAAGAAACTGAAGCCTAGAGAAGTACAGAAACTTGCCCAAGGCCACAGGCCTTGCAAATAAAGGAGTTGATGGAAGGGGTCTGCCTGAAAGGTAGGGAGTGAATTTGATTCTTTTTTTTTTTGAGACAGAATCTCACTGTCACCCAGGCTGGAGTGCAGTGGCTCAGTCTCGGCTCACTGCAACCTCTGCCTCCTGGGTTAAACTGCTCTCCTGCCTCAGCCTCCAGAGTAGCTGGGATTACAGGCACCTGCCATCACGCCAGGCTAATTTTTGTGTTTTTAGTAGAGATGGGGTTTTGCTGTGTTGGTCAGGCTGGTCTCAAACTCCTAACCTCAAGTGATCCACCCACCTCAGCCTCCCAAAGTGCTAGGATTACAGGTGTGAGCCACTGTGTCTGGCCTGAGCCTGTTTCTTGATATAGAGGCCACTATCACTACAAGAATGTGGAGAAACCTTTGGAGAGTGGTCTTCAAAATGTGCTTCGCAGACCAGCAGTGTTGGTGCCCCCGCCCCGGGAACTTGTTAGCAATGCAAATTCTGAAGACCCACTGGGGCCTACTGAATCAGAAATTCTGCAGGTGGGGCTCACCTGCAGAGCTGGGGATCAGCCCTCTGACACGCTCCAGTTTGGGAACCAAAGCTTAATGAATGCTCTGTGATGATGGCGTACCCCAAGCAAAGGGGTCCTCAGACACCAGCCTTGGACCAGTAGCCTGCTGCAGTGTGAGAGGGAACCATGCTTAGGAGTGGAAGGAAGCTCTGGAAGTGCCACTTACTTTTGTTACACTGAGGTCCGTATTTATTGGGATCAGAGCAGAACTGACACCGGGAGCCTTGGAAGCCCTCCTTGCAAATGCACGTCCCGTTGCCAGCAAGGCTATCTGCACACTGGGAGCAAAGGCAGGGCCCGTGGGCCATTAGGACACATACTTCTCAGGTGTTTTCATTTCATGGCCTGACTTCTTTGACTTCAGATTAAATCCCACTTGACATGACCCTCTGGGACTCCTTGTGGAAAGTGGAGTCATATGATATCAGGGAGGATGCCAAAGCAGTGCCGAGCTTGGGAATCCGATCCAGGATTTAGAACTTTAAGGGAAGTCACACAAGGGGGCATCACAATGCTGAACTGGGAACTTTCAACAATGCTTAAGGGATAAGTGATGAGACAGGGGCCTCCAGAATGAGTGACTGGCCTGTCTTTACAGTCTCACCTGCTCAGCTCTGTGACTCCAAACTGCAGTGTTTTCTCTCTTCAGTGATAAACGTATTTGCCTCCCACCTCCCTAGCCCTGGCAAAGTCATGTGTGCTGATTGACATCAGCGCTGGGTGTGGGGCCTTTTAACCCCTGGCCACAGTCATTAGTACTGGCCTTTCCCTATTCTCCTTGTCCGCATGGTGTCCCCACTCACGGCTGTACTTTCCCCTTGAAAAAGCCATGTTTTAGAGGCGGGTTTATTAAATGCACAGATGTATAATTTCCCCGTATGAACCACAGCTACTTTTGCCTCCAAGCTAGATGAGGTAAGTTTTGGCTGTTACATTTCACTAGGTTTTGCTCATAGGTTCAAAAAAGCAATTATGAGGCAGAGCTATTTTTTAACTATCATAAAGTCTTAGTTCTGGAAGGAGTCTTGAAGATCAATGCAGGCCAACCCTGATACCTCCCACAGGAGGAATGTGAGGCCCAGAGATCCTTGTTGAGTTACCCAAGGTCCTGCTGCCCACAATAGAGAAGCAGAGACGAGAGGCAACATTACCGGACTCTCTCTCCCCCATCCCCCATCCCCCATCCCAGACCCAGATTCCTTCCACTGCAGGCACCTGCTGTTCTTTTAGTAACGGGTCATTTCTTTTGCTTCCTGGGAAGAGTAGCTGGCATTGTATCATATTTTGGTTTAGAAGTTTCAAACATTATTGTTCGATTTGACTTATGGAAGGCCAGTCTTCAGTATTCACCTGTCCATTTCCCGAGCATGGATTTGAGAAGCCTCCTGGACACTGGTTGCAGTCGGGTCCATAGAAGCCTTTGCAGCACTTTGGAATCTGAAAAACAAAATGCGTGCTGCCCTTTGAAACCCCAGGCAGAGCACCAATTCCTCAAAGGGGATGCATTTTAATTTCCATGATTATACTAAACCATTTTCGCCTCTCCTTATGAGGTTGTCTTTTTCTTTGGCAGTTGATAGCATGGCTAGTGCTCAGTCATCTGGTCACCACAGCTCTACTGAGCCCCCTCCCCTGGGTGCAGGACTGGCTCTAACACTGTGCAAATGGACAGAGGGAGGTCACACTTGTGGAGCCAACCCTCTAAGTCGGGGAAGAGTCAATGTATGAATTTTAAAAATAGTGAAACAAGATCATTTCAGAGAATGGTGAGTGCTGGGAAAAGAAAGTATTATCATCCAGTGATGTCAGGTAGGGCCAGAAGTCAGGTGGGTACTAGGGAGACCACTGTAGATTGGTGGTGACAGGGCTGGTTAATGGAGACACTGAAGATGAGTCAGCCTCAGGGAAATCTGGAAGAGCATTCAGAGGGAGGGAATGGCAAGTGTGCATGCTCTGAAGTGGGAATGGGGGTGAGAGGCAGGTCGGAGCCACAGGCAGAGGATGGGCCACGTGGGAAAGCATAAAGAGTGTGATCTGTGTTAAGAGGGTAGTGAGCCATGGGAGGCTGTGATGTAGGGAAGGGGAGAGTCTGGCCACCATATGAAGAATCTACCTTTGATTCCTCTGCGGGAAGACAACACCAAGCATGGGCCACCTGTGACCACATGGACCCTAGGACCCAAGAGCATGGCCCTGGAGCTGCCTGGCCCTACTGGCCTAGACTGGACCTTGGTCACACACTCCTCACCTTCACGGTGGCATTGCAGTACCGGGCACAGCCGCTCTTCAGGCTCCCAAACCTGCCACTGTAGACACATCTGTGTGTGAAGAGTGCCTGGGAGAAAGCCAAGGAGGGAAAGCATGGCAGTCAGCATGTTTAGGTCCTCCAGGCACTGCACACCCTCTGCAGACACTTGCCATTCTACTTCCATTTCACCACTGACGTCAGGAGAGAGTGCTGGACCACACCAGCAGACCTGGGTCTACATCAGAGCTTGGGCACCCTTTTTTAGGCCTGTTCCCTTGTTGGTGGAATACAGGCCAGAGTTTGTACCATCCATGGCCCACAGATATTTATTCCCTCTTTCATGCCACAGCAGATGTCTCTAAGCAGGAAATATTTTCTGTTCATTCTAGATGCAGTCTAGTCTTCCCTTCCGATCTACAGCCATCCCTAAGATCTTCTATAGAGACATTTTGGAGACCCCAAAGGGTCTATCTACACTTCACTGAAAGGTTTGCCAAATAAAATAGTGATAGTCTGAGTTTTTCTCTTAGGAGACGCATTTACATGCATCCTTCCGTTCTCTAATCAACGATGCCCACTCACAATTATCTAGAACTGATGTTTACTGAGAACCGTTTATGGGCCAGACACATGGCACAGATGAGTTCCTCAATCTTCAGTTCTATGTGGATGTTTTTCATTCCATTTTTTATAGATAAGGAAACTGAGGCCCAGACAGGTTAAATAATTTTTTCCAAGAAACACTGATGGTAAGTATAAGGTCTAGAGAATGGGTCTTATCACGTACAGACTTTAGGATCACAGTCATGTAGCCTCCATGGGTCTCAGCTGCCTAATCTATAAAATATCAAGAAAATATTGATGAGACAATAATGCTGATTTCAAGTTTTGCCACAGGAATTTAGTCTCTGGTTCAAATTTTGTTTTAGATAATTGTTGACGTCAAGCTTACCCCTTCATCTTAGGCTCTTGCTCAAGAAGAGAGCAATGAGACTTTCCTAGGCTATAAAATCCTAAAATACTAGCTACATGAAGGAATTCTAGGGCACCGAGGAAGGAGCACTATAGTCCTTTTGTAGGTGATCTCAGGATAATTGACCAGGTGTAAGTCACAGGATTCCCGGTAGGGGTATTTTGAGGCCTCCTTTTGGCTCCTACCCATGTGTCTAATTTCCCTTTCTTTTCCCTCTTCCTTGTCTTTCCCTGGGCTGAGACAATCTAGAATGGTGATTAAACATGCAGAGCAGAACAAATCATGGTTCTGCCACTTCAGCTGTGTGACCTTGTACAAGGTGGTTTGTGTTTCCTTGCCTTAGTGCCCCAATCATACATTGGTTATGGTGATAATATACCTACCGCGTGGGGCTGCTGCATAAAGCATTTAGAACAATGTCTGGCACACAGCAATCGCTGTGACACCAGCCAAAACAATTTCCTCTTCTCCTCCCTCTCACATTCCCTGGTTGACAGCATCCTGAAGGACTCAGGGGTAATGGCTTCGTTAAGCAAAATAAATATCTGAACACCTGCACCTATTTAATTTTAATGTTTTGCTTTA